CTGCATTTTTCAAAGATCATTATATTTCTTTAAGCTGAATAAAATAAGATATTTTATAAATCAATAAATGTTAATGATTTATTTTACTAACTCAAGAAGAATAAGTGAATAAGAAATGTTAATACAAGAAAGAGGTGTCATAAAAATGATAAAACATCAGATTTATAACATTGTATACTTAAAATTCTAATGATAATATTTCTTGTGTATCAAGCAATTATCATTTGTGCTGATAATATTTTTAGTGGGGAATAGAGAAGAAAAAAAAATATAGTAATAGATGATAAGATTTGAAACCTAAGTATATAGGTTTAAGTCCTTGCCCTGTGAGAATTGAGGTGTGTTAGCGTAGAGAAACAAAACATACATAAATTGTGTCCCTTTATTTGAAGTATATAATGGAATATAATCATACTCTGTCCAGGCTATTGAAAAAAAATCTAAAGAAATGAATTAAATGAGATAATGCTTTTGAACCCATTTGAACAATGCTGAATTTATATACTTGGTAAAATGGTCACATACACACACACACACAGACTGAGAAGGGAGAAAAACAGAGAAGTGAGGTTTTCCTATTAATATCTCATTATATAAAGGAAATATATTGTTCCATTTTTCTATAAAATTTCTTAAAAATATCAAATGCTTAAAATGAATATAAACAGAATTACTGGGGAATATATATGCCATGATGCTAGATATAAACCATTATTTGTGATACAGATTCTTTAAGAAAGAAAAATTTATGATGCTTAATACATCAGGAAAAGCAGGATTACTAGAAATCATTATTTTGCCTAAAAAAGGTGGCTAAGATAAGAAATCAACTAGATTTGTTTTAAAATCCTCTTCATAGTAGCAATCAAAATCGGTCTTCCTTTATAAAATAGAAAAGGCTTAAGGAATGCAACATTGAATATATATTTGGCACATAAAATGATAAATCAATTGGTTAGGCTTATAAAATTGTTATGAATATGTATTTTGTGTCAATCAAATAAAAATCACAAAACCCTGGTACTGCAAAATTTGCTCCTTTTTGATGTAACGTATGCTGACATATGATACAAGAAATAGATTGCTTTTCATTTTATGGACAATTTTATTTATTTTCTTGCTTCTTTTTACTGTCATTGTGAAACTACTTCATCATTGTCTTAATTTCACTGTTTGCTTACCAAAATTATGCTCTCACAGCTTACTGAGGTTCAAAGTCAGTTCAAGTTTAGTTTTCTAATATGTGCCAGTTAATTAGTTCACTGTCAACAGTAAGATAGATGTTCACTTCCAAATGCATGTCTGTATATCCCCATCCCATCACCCTACTCACTAACAAAAGAAATAGAGCAAATGCTGAATTGATTCTTCTTGTCAATTTTTATACATAAACCAGGCAGTCAAGTACAAGCCAGATTAACACATTGGTATTTTCCATGTTTATTTTTATCAGCAATTTATAAACACCTATTGTTTACTGCAATTAATATGATTTTTATTTTCTCACATAAATATGAGCTATATATTTGGTAGGATAAGAGCTAATTTAATACATTTGACAAATATTTAAAATTTATTCAGCAAATGAGTTTAATTTTGCCTCTAGGTAGAGGATATTTTTGACAAGTATGTTTGGTTTAGTTATCCTGTAGAAACTAAATCCCTCTTCTCTAAACACACACACTGGCAGACGCACACACATTTCAAAAACCTACAGCAGAAAATAAATTTCTCCCATCGCATGCAAACTATAGCTCTGTTCTGCATCCTCCTTCATTCCATGAATAAAAGTTTGAGTTAATAATCTACATAGAGAAACCAACAATCCCAGTTTGCCTACTATGAAGTGACTTCATTTCACATGACGACTTTTAGTCTTTTAAAAAAGGAAAGTCCCAGGCAAACTGAGTTGGGTTAGTCGTCTTAAACTGACTCAACCACAAGTGAACCCATTTTAAATAAAAAGAGTTACACTTCTATTTCAGAGGTAAAAGTTGAAATTTAAATTTTGAAATATAGTCCCAGAACATATATTCTGTTAAATATTTGTTACCTAATTCATGAATCCAGTGAGAAACAGTATTAAAAATTAAGATTATTTTAAGGTATTAATTTCAAGCATTAAATTGGGGAGATTAAAAAATCCTATTTAGTGAGCATTTCCATGTAAAAATGTTCTCAAATCTCTCTAATTCTAAATAAAAACAACAGAGAGAAAATTAATATTACCATGTTACCTGAGGTCACTATGAAGCTTAAGATACCTTAACAACAGAGAATAAAATCATTCCACTGGAAATTAACTTCAGTGTAAAAAAGAGGCCACTTTATAGTATCTGAATTCTGCCGACACTTATCTAATCATAAAAATGACCTGGACTCATTAAATTGTCTATTTAAGTTCATAAGAACTAAGAAAATAGTGTTTTAACAGGCATTACATTAGTCACCATTTTCATATGAATTCAAAATGAATACTTTCAATAGCAGCATTTTTGAAATTCATACTGAGAAAGAAAGAAGTTGATTTATGTAAAAACCATATTACTTGAATAAAGTAGCACTATGAAGAGAACACTTTATTGATCCACGGTCAATTTAATGAAAAATCTTCTGCAACAATATTATTAAGGTATTATAAGTTATTTAATATTTTCAGACTATGCCAATTATCCCTTAGGAATATTTTCTGGAAATTTAGTTCATCCAATTAAGTAATATGAATCCACCAAAATAACACTAATCAGTAAGAAGAACTATGCTATATTTTCATGTTTCCCCCTTTTTTGTGGCTGCTAGAAATTTCATAGAAATTTAGAGATAAAACTTTAGCTTATTTGTTCAAAGAGCTCTACTCTTTTATCTCACTGTCTTATTTTACTTATGTTATATTAACTTCTTTTAATGGTTATATTACAATTTTTATGTTGTTGCTGTGAAATGGGTGTATGTGCGTTCTCACATGAACATGCAAATTATGAGGAAGAAGTCATAGTCAGAGATAGACCTATATCACAATACTCCTAATCTCTACATATGGTCCAAAGGAATAAATTGACTCAGGTTGTTAAGTCAGAGGTAAATGTATTGCTCTTGCAATAATTTTAAAAAGGTAATCAGAGCCCCAGTTTTCCACCACAAATAACCCCCTATAAATCCAAACGTCATCTAAAGTCACAATACCTTCACAGTGTCCTCAGCATAGAAGGTTCTAAAACAAATAAATTCTGAAATCCCTTGAAATCTATCCTGGGGGCCTTTGTTTCTTCATTGGGAAAAGCTAAGGGTCTAATTTGGTATTCAGGCAACAGTTAAAAGAAGAGTTCCACAGCACCGCTGTGAGCGGGGATCCATGTTACACCTGTCATTTTTCCTGGCATCTGTAATTGTTAGTTGGGACCCGCTCCTTACTGGTTCATCTACCCCAAAGTTATTACAGAACATTTAAAATCTTATTTCTAAATGGCTCCTTGACTCCTGAGTTTGCCAGACAGAAATAGGATTACACATCTTTGGTCCAGCTGTCTGTGATAATCCCTTAGTTTAAAAAACAAACAACAACAATAACAAAAAATGAAAGAAAACACCTAAAAGGTGACTTAGTTTAAGCTTAGCTTTTGTAGTTGCTGATTATTGTTGTTTTGTTAAGTTTTAAGTGAAGAGATGATTCTACAAGATCCTATCAGTTTCAATAATATGCTACTTTACTAAGTTTATTTCATATAGTCATAGATTCAGAATTTATTAGGCCTTCATATTTTCTACCAAGATGAGAATCCCAAATCTATTAGAAACAATGTTCAGTGATAGTGAAGATTGGTTAATGCCATTTGTAGAGTTTGAAATTTTATGTCTTAGTATAAAAGTAATGGGTTAATGCTTTTGGTGATCTCAAAACTTAGAAATATATCATAAAATTGTATTTTCTTGGTAGTCATTTAAAATAATTAAGTATAAATGACTTTTTAGATAAGATTTGTCATCTTCAGTGTTGATTCCAGTTACTTACATGGTCATTTATTAATTTAGAGTCTTAAACTTTAATATTCATGTTTTGTTGTGCAATTAGTTAATTGTGATTGTGAGTCCAGGTAGAAGATCATCATGATTTGAAACAATTAGAACAATGCTGACTTAGTGTAGTAATTGCATTAAAGGAAATGTCATATGTTCATGATTCCTTGTGCCCCATGATTCACCTGTGCTTTCCCTTGCCAAATGCAGTGAGTATTTGTTCATTGGAAATGTGAGAAAATAGAAATGGTAGAATGGTATGCTCTAAACAGAATATATAGCCATAATCTATCTCCAGGACTTAAATTTCTTACTGGTTTATGTCTTTCTAAGACCTAAGTAGAGTAGCATGTGCTAAAACTTAATGATGACCTCAGTGTGACTTAGAATGGTTTACATTTAATTAATTTAGTTGTGGATATAACTGGATATGATTTCTGTCTTTGAATATGATGGAGATAACCATATGCAAATCATATTATTAAAAAACATGTCCTGATTATCTTAAAATATTTTCAAATGATATAAAAAATAATAATGTGAACAGTACCCTGGCATTTTATGGTGTTAAATCTATTGGGTCACAAGTTCTTTAAATAGTATATGTTTCTTCATCTACACTATAGTTATTTTTAATTTGTGTTTATATGTGTGGGGGGATGTATTATAGCCAGAAAACAGAAGATAAAGGACGCTTAGATATTGGGAAGTGAGTAAAAGCCAAAAGAATATCACAAAGGCATTTGAACATGAACATAATGCAAGATGATAAAGAAAGAAAAGATAACGAAATAGATCGAATAAGGAAAGAGAGGTATATATTGTGTGTCCCATAAAAGTTTCTATAATCAGTGGCTGTAGAAATTAGGTGTTTATTTTATACATATATATATATGTTATACATATATATATATGTATATATATATATATATACTAAAAATATTTCAGTAAGGTACTTATCATTTTTCGTTAATTCCCTTTGCCAGTATTCTTGCACTCCAGGGTGCACAAAAAATTCGTGTTGGTTGTTAAAAATGTTTACTTAATTCACTAGTTCCCCTGCTGCTGTGGAGCCACCTGCCATGATATTTGCCAAGCTAAAGGTCCCTCTCAGTTTGAATATGTATGGCAACTGGGATTTACAGGTAATTACTTTAATTTTTTTATTTCAATAGATTTAGGGGTACAAGTAGTTTTTAGTTACATGCATAAATTGCATAGTGGTGAAGTCTGGGCTTTAGTGTACCTGTCATCTGAGCAGTGTACATTGTACCCAATTTATTTAAACATTTTTAATCTGCTTGAATCATTTCAAAATTTACTAAGTAAATATTCATTTTCTAATCACATAATGTATTTTATATCTCAAAACATGATATAATGTAAAAATGAAATTGATACTCTTATTTCTTCATTTGTTCCTTTAACTGACAACTTTAAGACCAAATACATCCTAAGAATTCGGCTTGATGTGAGATTTTTATGAGCGTGAAGAAAAACTAAAGCTATTCTCTTCTCTCATGGATCTATTTGTTGGAGGGAGGTTATTGGATAAATATTCAAAGTAATAAATATATATTAATAACTTTATTTGAAATAAAATTCTCTTATAGGGAAAAAACACGGAATTTCATGAATCTTATAAGCAAAGAACCTATTTAGAATAGAGAAAAAAAAATAGCAATACAAACATTAAGTTGGGAGGTCAGAAAAGGTTTCCACAAGGAAATAATCCTTGAAAAGAGATATGGAGAATGACATTATGGCAGAGAATTTGGAGAAGGCGCATTCTGGATTGAGGAAATTGTATTTATAAAAGCATGTTAGAAAAGATGGATCCTTTGAAGACCTGGCTGGAGCTCTGAGAAAAGAGTATTAAGGCTTAGCAGGGGGGATGCCAGAACTAAAGTGCCAGGTTAAACAGTTTGATTTTTATTCTAAAAGGAATAAGAAATTATTGTAGAATTTAACACATTAAAAATACGTATAGCAAGTGAAGACATATACTAGAAAGGAGAGGGGAAAAAGTTAGGGGTTGACTGGAGTCATAATGTGAGGTGATGGAAGCTTGAAATAAATGGAAGTTCTTGTTTGTGGATTGTAAATAGAGAGCAAGTGGTGGAGAGTGATGGGGATGTTCACAGGACTCCTAGTTTTAATCTGAAATAAAACCATTCCAATGCTTATATTAATATATATTTAATTGTTTTATAAAATGACAATTTCTATCTCAGAATCTATTTTGATGAGCATAATTTTCTGGTCTTTGATTACATTTTTAATACCATTTGAGTTAGCCAGTGCAAAATTTGATTTCTGTTCTTAAAACTCTATGCTATTTTTATTCTTTTAAAGAATATTTCTTCTGACAATGCTATTTTAGCATTATAGTTTATCAACAACTAGCAAATTAGTAGATTTGATGTGTCTCTCAACTAACAGCTTATTTTATTTAACTGACAGCACCTGCATATATAAGATGATATTACATTAAAACAGTGTTGAAATAAACTAACAATTAGCCTCTTAAACAGAAAACATGATAATTTATTTCACCATGCTCATAAAATAGTATTCTGGGGAGTTAAGAGCCTCTAATGACAGAAATAGTTATCAGTTCATTAAGCAAATCACACTCAAGACCTAAAGTGGTAGAAGAGAGCAAGGACCTGTTGATTATGCTATGTTGGTGCTAAAGGTAATTTCAAAGACTGTGTTATGAATACTTATTATTTTACAAATGACATAAACAAAACAAACTCAACAACTGGGGTTAGAGAGGTTAAATGAATTATCTGTTCAGGACTATTTAGGGATTGTATCATTTCAGTGGTTATAAACCCTGGCCACATAGTAGAATTATCTGTGGAGCTCTTGAAATGTACTAATGCTGAACTTGCACTACAGAACAATCAAACTGGAATTGTAGTGAAGTGAACACAGAAGATCTTTAAAGGCTCCTTAAATACTTTTAATGTGCAGATCGAGAAACATTATGTACTGTTACACACCAAATTAGTTCATGGAGTTCTGTGTTTGCATCATTTTTGTACTTGATTTCACTTAGTCTCATAGAGGAAATAATGCACACATATGTTTGGTTATTTTTAAACTTTAAACTTCTTTTGAGAACTAAAAATTGCTAAAGGGAATATATTCACAATGATGAAATAGCAAATGTACTTTTTAGGGAAAATGGAGGAAGTAATAGCAAGTCAAATTGCTCATGGATAAATCAGCTCTGAAAAAATGCAGTCAATTTTATGAATGCAGTAAAATAACAGATATATTTTTATAACACAGGAGAGTAGAAAGAAGTCAAAATTACTCATAAGTTAGCACAATAGAATTATCATCAATGTAATATAAGCATATTTAATCCCTTCATGAGTCCATGGTCAGAATTTACTGAATATAACTGATTATAACAAAAGTAAGAATTATATGACCCCTACATCTGAGAATCTAGATGACCTCAGTTGTCCAAGGGAAAGAAGCCAGTATGAAAATGTTCAATAGTCAGTAAATACATAAGTAGAGCCACATCAACTCACTTTGAATGTCTGGGTAAAGATCAAGCAATGCAATTTCTCCCAGTAAACTTTTCAAAACAAAATAGAAGTTAGAACAGATGAAAAAATATGTGAATAGAATTATACATTTTATGTACTAGAAGATTTCTTCTTATTTCTTTTGGTTGTTACCATTAAGATCTTCTTTTCTTTTCTTTTATCCTCATAAAATATAAAATATAATTGAAGAGAAACTGTAAAATCAAGCTAGCGAATTTGCATAGCGTGCATTAATTTTACCAGCAGTAAAATTATTTTAATTAAGGGATTTTTCTACCAACTAAATGAAGTGCCTTACACGCCCAATCAATTCTTTCCAATATGATTGCTCTACAAAGAAGGGATGGCAATTAATTAGAAGAAGCCCCTTCAAGGACAATTGGTCTACAGCGCACAACTTGAGAAAGAGCTGACATGCACTGTTTCTTTTCAATGTCATCATCTATGTTCATTGTATGTATTATTAGTTTTGAGAAAGAGAGATACTGACAGAGTGGATAATGAGTTGTGAAGTAATAAGACAATATGAATCATGTTTAAGAAAAGATGAAATAATAGCAAAAAAAAGATAAGTTTTCTTGAATACCTTTTTTGAAACATGTCATTATTATAGTTTGCTTATCTAAATTAAACATATACATTTAAAACATTCAATATGTATCAGTGAACTTTTATCTAAATGCAGAGTGATTTCTGCATTTGTGAACTGATATTGAAGACCAATAGTTACTTTAAATTTTCTATTTTTTCTTTATGAAATAGTGGATCTTACTTGTGGTAGAACTCCTTATAGGATGTTAAGTATAATCTATTTATTATAATTTACTTTCATAATTTTAAATTATTGTGAGAGTAGAAAATGCTATATCTCCAAAGTAATCTTCATCAAAAGTCTCTCTCTCTTTTTTTTTTACCATATTGCTCTATCTTTAAACTTTCTTTTGTTAAATGCCTGCTGTTTATATATCTATTAAGGATTTTAGGGCCTGAGTTATTATATCACTAACAAATAAATGGCTTTTGTAAACAGATAAAGGCTAATTAAATTATATAGAAAAAAAGATTTCATGCAAACAGCAATTAAAATATTAGAATGCATAAGACTAAAATTAACAAAAGAATGCAAGTTCTAAATGGAGAAAACTGCAAATATTGCTGTAGGACAGGTATATGCATACATAATCGAAAGAAAATTTTAAAAATATATCATGTTGCATCTATTATTATTTTTATTAGTCTTTTTTCTTTTAACTTTCATAATAAAGATATTAGTGATATATACACCACCTGAATTTGACTGTGTGTTTACTTTTACCAGTGAATTTTTTACTTTCAGAAATGTTCTCACTATAAACACAATAACTATGTGAGGTAATGTATATGTTAATTAGCTATATTTAGTCATTCTACAATGTACATATACTTCAAAAAATTGTGTTGTACTCCATAAACACATAAAATTTTATGACTACTTAAAAAATAATAATAATCCATCCTCCCAAAAAGATATACCATGCTGTTGGAGAGGAGATGCATATGTTAAAGATTTCAGTTCTCCATATTATTTTATGTATTTATTAAATTTAAATAAAAGAAGTGTTTTCTTTGTTTCACAAAATTGACATCTTATTCCTTAGTGTTTACATGGAAAATAAGTGTTTGCATGGAAAATAAAGGCAAGTATACTCTGCAAAAATATATTATGTGAGTAGGTAGGTTATAGAACTAGCTCTGCCAGATGTTAAAATATATTATATAGCTCCATTAATGAAAAGTATAGCACTTTTTCATTAAAAGTCAACAAAATATAAAGTCTCAAAGTAAGTTCAAGTTGTGCAGGAAATTAAAGATATAATAAATTGCCATCTTCGATCATTAGGGTAAGTAGGGACTATTCAATAATTAAAATGGAACAACTAAATAGCCATCTGAAAAAAAATCTGACTTGCATATATCTTACAACATTCTCTAGGTTAAATTCAAATATATAAAAGTTTTAACATAAAAAAATGAAAAATACAACAATATCAGAGAAATTCTGGAGAACTGCTTTATAAATCTGAATGCGAAAGGCCTTTAAAACTACCATTCAAAATTTAGATGTCAGAAAGAAGATATTGGTGAATTTAACTAACATGAGAAGCAAAAGTGTCTGCTTGTGGAAAACATCATAGAAATCAAAATGCAAAAGAAAAACCATACAGACATTTCACTTAACAGAAGAAAGGTTAGTATCACTAATATATTAATAACTCTTAGAAATTAAGAAGCCAAAACCAAAAACATGATTAAAAAATATCAATAATATAAACATGCAGTTTACATAAGGAGACATAGGAAGTATTCCTAAATATATGGGAGAAATAGCTTTACTCAGACTATATTAAAGAACATTTTAAAAACCCCATAAATGGATAGTTTTTCTCCTATTAGTGGTAAAAATTTTTACCACTTTTACAACTTTTACAACTTAGCAATTTTATCCATTGCTAGCTATAATGTAAAATCATTATAAATTCAAGCAGGCCAATTTTGCAATATCCATACATACACCACTTGACCTAACCTTCCCATTATTGAGAATACATCCACATGCTAAGCAACATGTGTGTAAATTTTGTTACCTGGTACCATTGGTTATTAGAACAAAAGAATAAACACAGATATGGAAATGAATGTGGAACACACCCAATACTAATATGAGATACACAATACAGTGAAAAGAAACCACCTTAACACCACATTCTCAGATGCTTTTAAGCCCTGAGCAGTTAAAAATTTTTGCTGGGCAAATAAATTTGTTTTTCATAATTATTCCCTCTTACTAGACTTTTGTGTTTTGACTATAGTTAAATTAGGCTTTCTCCTACTTTAGTCACTCCATCATTTTTTTCACCTCCTCATTCTCTTTGTGGGTTTAAACTGTTACTTTTTGTTGTTGTCTTCTTTTTGAGGCTTTGAAAGGCCAAGACAAAGATTTAATAAAGAGTTAAATCCAAATTTTTCATCAGATATATCATTGAAGAAAACTCTATATTAATATGTTGGACAATTTAGATAAAATGGATACATTCTTAGAAAACTAACATTTGCCAAAAACTTATTGAATCTGTTAATATAAAAGGTGAATAACACTACAACTTACTAAATAATTGAATAAAATAGTTTTTAAAATCTTTCCACAAAGAAATATATTGGAATATATGGCTTTCTATTCAATCAAATTTTCAATAAAAAGTTAATTCCAATACTGCATAAACTCAGATGAGAAACAGTGAGAGGAACACATCAATTGATTATAGTAAACTAGCATAACAATATTTGAGTTATTTACTTTTAACACATTGAAGGTAGGATTTTTATTGACCTATCATTAGAAATTAACTGATAATTTCTTCTCTTGTATCTGATCTACTGATAATGTCTTCATTGATTATTTTATAACTAATATAGTAGCAATTTTCCATAACCTTAAAATTATTAGCAGTCAAGTTACATAGGTATGGTTGAAGAATTTGGGGATATTCTGTCTATCTTCCTAGCTCCTTCCTTTTTTCTCAGTGATATGTGAGATTCCTAAGTGAGGTATGCACACAGCAGGAGATGTCAGTTTCTGAACCACCTCTACTTTCCTACTCAGCTGTAAGATGCATAGCTTACATGATATTTTCCAGGAAGTCATGCCTCACAAATTCATAGATTAGAGTTTTGTTAATCATAAGCAATCCTAAACCAGGAATATTCTGATAAAGAATATTTTAGATACATACTCTCCCTTAAACAAATATTCTTTGTCTACTTACTAGGAGATTTAGCTATGTTTATAAGATAGTTGCATCAGTTCTCCTACCTATGTCCTTTCATTACCTGGGAATATGACCTCCATTAATGACCAGTAACAGGGTCTCAGTTCAGCTTAATCGGCTCCTTTCTCTCCCGAATTTTGGAATTTACATTTTTTTCTATAGTTTCCAAATTTCTGATTCCTTCATTTCCTGTTTAGCTATCTTTTCCAATAGATTCTTAAACAAATTTATCATAATAATTTTAAAGTCCTTGTTTGGTAATTCTAAGACTGGGTCTTAGAATTTGTTTTTACTGTTTCTCTTGAACATAGGTCAAATTCTGTTGCTTTTTGGCAATCTCATTTTTTATTATATCACAGATATTGTGTCCAATATAATAGTGTAAAGTAGCAAAATTTTATATGCATATGTATGCGTGCCTATATCTATATCTATGCCTACACACGCACACACACACACACGCGCGAGGGCACACACACACACAAATTCCCTTTCTCCTTCGGGAGACTGTGATGATTTATCTATTATAATATTTTAACTTTTTTCCAAATTTTTTTCCAAATGATTTCATAGGCAAATGTAACATATAAAAAGTAAAAATGCTTTTTTTGTATAAAATTGTTATTTTTATAACCATTACATCATTTTTACCATTATTAATTAGCGATTTAGTTAATATTTGATTATTTTAAAACATCTATTGACCTGGGAGCTGTGTCTTCCTGTCCTTATGCTTTTTATTTTTCAGTCCACATTTAAGATCGTAGGATGAGGCTTTGTCATCTTTTAGGTCTCTTTCAAATTTCATATTCTGTAGGCATGGGAGTTTCTTTTGTGGCAGGTGTCAAATTCAGCTTTTTAAGTAATTTGACAACTTTCTTTAATAATTCAATGTGGATTCAAGTTTGTGAAAGGTTATTTAATTTTTTGTCTCTTTGTTTGAAAGAAGCTGAAGGTGAAAAATGCGAAGTGGTTTTGATGCCTACTTTTTTCTAGATGCAGTCTGTGTGAACAAATCTGAAAACATCAGTTATGCATGTTGGTTCCCATGTGAAGGCACAATAGAGGTGAAGTATATTTATGTCATAGTTTCTCATTTGTCTCTTTAGTTTGTAGTTGTGTAATTTGAAAAACTTAGAAATGTTAATGTTACAGGTTCTTCAGTGTTCAAGATTTGCATAGCATAAATATGACTTCATAAACAAATCCCCAACAATGTACTTGGAAATTTGTATTTACTTCTTATATTTAAATATGGAAGTAATAAAGAGTTTAAAGAATCATTTTAATCCTAGTCTTTCAAACACCATTGTTATATATGTCACTTTTTTTGTTAAAAGATTGTAATGAACTGCCACTGTCTTTTAGATTTAGTTGAACCACTGAAAGATTTTTTTTCCCTTTATTTTTTTTTAATTTTTAATGTTCTTCTTTAAATGCCAGAATATTACAGGGGTATAAACGTTTTGGTTACATAAATTGTTTTTTAAAATTTTGAGTCTAAGTTATAAGCATAACCATCTCCCAGGTGGTGTTCCTTTTACCTGGTAGGTGTAAATTTACTCATTCCTTCCTCCTACCTGCTTGATTTCCAATGAATATTATTTCCATATGTACACATAAGTGTTGATCAATTAGTTCCAATTTAATGGTGAGTACATGTGGTGTTTCTTTTTCCATTTGTGTGATACTTCACTTAGAGAATGGTCTCCAGTTCCATCCAGTTTAATACAAGAGGTATTAGTTCTCTATATTTTTATGGCTGAGTAGTACTCCATGGTATACATATACTACATTTTATTAAATCACTCACGAATTGATGGACACTTGGGTTGTTTCCATATCTTTGCAATTGTTATTTTTTTAAAATAGAATGTCTTTTTTTCATATGGGTAAATGCCCAGTAGTGAGATTGCTGGATCAAATAGTAAGCCTACTTTTATTTCTTTGAGATATCTCCATATTACTTACCTTAGAGGTTATACTAGTTTGAAGTCCCACCAACACTATATGAGTGTTCCTCTCTCCACATACATGCCAGCATTTGTTGTTTTGAGACTTTTTGATAAAAAAAATTCTCACTGGAGTTCAGTAATGTCTCATTTTTATTTTTATTTATTATCTGAAAGATTTCTAATCTCTGGGAAGTTATACCACTAACAATTATGGAACCTATGACAAGAATTAAAAGGCCCCATTTTTCTCCTCTCACCTACCTCTATCTTGTACAAATTAGTATTATATTTTTATACATGTAAAGACAAGTAAAAAAATTTAGGATCTTAATTTTAAACAAATTATGAACATTTTGTCAAAATAATTCAAGAGTTTTCCAAAATAGTTCAGAGTTCAAAAGATATATTTAGTCTCTTTCGTTGGCACATAACGTAATTTGGTCATTTTACAGAAACAGATTCTAATTTTATATTGTTTATACCACTCATATACAAGTTTTTCATAAAGATTATAAACACTTTTTTATGAATATATTCATTAACATTGAGCCAACCTTATAAAAAAATACAAGTCACTATTTCCTTCAAATTCACCATCTCTATAGAATCATTATTACTACTATAAACAAATTTCAAATTTCTCAAATCTCTTAAAGTATGCTCTCAAATATATCTTGTATTATGTTTTCTAAATTTATAAATATATAAAGTAAACTTAATGTATTCTACTTACATATATGTAACAAATCACATGACTATGTGAATTAACAAATCATGAAATTAACAATTCATGTATTTAACAAATACATGATTATGTACACATATAATTAGTTTAAAACTTAACTTTATTTTTAAGATATATTTAATTTTATCAGCATATTGGAGGTAAATATATAGTTGGTAATTTAGTAACTATAAATCTTCCCTTGGTAACAAACAAACTTTTGTTATATTTATTATGTTGTTTATTTAATTTTAGTTCTCTTTACCCTTTTATAATAATTACCAACTTTAAGCTAACTAACCTACATTATTTCTTTAGACTCAAGAAAACACAAAAAGGTAGCAATACAAGAAAATTTTAGTTACTTTATTATTTCATGTTGACCCATTTTATATAACTTTAACAACTTTTATGTTAGGCAAAATGAACACAATATGCATCACAAAAATATTTGCACATCTTATTTCAATTCTCCAAGAAACAATAGCATTTTATAACTATGTTTAGAGACTAACATTTGTACATTTTTCTTAATTAAAAATTGTTCAGGAATCCAAAACTAATTTTATTAATTTGATTTAAAAAATCAGTGTAAGCTTTTAATGTTGACTAAAGATTTGGAATTGTAACTTACAACATCATATTAAGTCCTGCTGATTTGTAGTATTATCAACAAAACATTCTAGTACATCAGTGTAGTAGAATTCATGAAATTAGGCCCTTTTAAATTATATCCATTATTAAAATTTCAATTATTTCAATTTCATATTTTGTATAATCATAGGCAATTTGAAGAAACAATTATAAAATCATTCTTATTTATTAGGAATTTGCATGAGTTCTTTTTAAATAAACTTCTTTTGAATAAATAACAATAAATAAATAAACCTTAGTATTTATATATTTTAGAAAATCAAGAATTTGAATTTAAGCCAAAAGCCCTACTGGCCTACTTTTCTTTTCATCTAATACACTAACAATATTACCGACACACAGGTATAATTTTTCTGCTTTGTTAAATTTTTGGCAAAGGAAAAACATATAAATAAAGAACAGTTTATCATTTTCCTTTTCTTGCAATTTTTTGACTATCTGAACAATAGTTCTAGAATGCTCATATAATGATAGAAAGAGTATTTATGATCAATTAATTTCAAATTTTTCCCAAGCTGAAAAGAAAAAGAGGAAAACAAAAATGAATAAGTGAAGGGAAATTGGATTCAAGCAGATACACATGATTGTGGGAGTCTAATTATCTCTCCTCTGCAAAGAATAGTAGATACTTAAAATACAGAAAATCCTATTTTTATACATACATATGCACACAAACACACACACACACACACACACACACACACACACAAAAAGTTATTATGGATAATTTAAACAAGGACTCACGTACTTGGCAATTCCATAGAGTTATTTAGTTAAAAATCTAGTGCTTATTAATCACAGAAGTATGAAAATAAAAAAGGGGGTCTTGTGTGTTTACTGAGTAATCTCTCTATTAGACATACCAGACAGAGAATCTCCTCATGAGAATTTTTCCCTTTTTGTTCTATTGAATCTGTCAAATGAACAATCTTGTTGATGTCAAAATTTCCCCAGAGTAGCCACTGCAATTTCAGATTGTCCTTTGAGAAATGATGCCAATTAGATACATGTATACATGACTTAACAATATGAATGGAGAAATGTGTGATGCCAAGGCATAAGGGACTGAGAAGAACCCATGAAAACTTACATCAGACAGCACAGTGTCATGTCTCCAGAACACTCCAACAACCAGTCAATCTCAAATGAGGGCCCAACTAAAAGTGTTTACAAGATTTTGAAAAGGCAACTCAAGGAAAAATTTGCCCAAAGGAACACCAGACTGTTGTGACCATTTGAACTCATCACTTATTTAGACCATCTGGATGATGAAGTTATGGACCTATGCTTGTACTCACCCAGTTGACTTCCTCTTATCCAGACTCATCTGAGAAAGTAATGATGACAGAGGGAGAGTTTCTCTCTCTTTAGGTAAAATTGGATCACATAACCAAAAGATTCCAAAATGTTTACTAATAAAAGAAAATAAATGAAGCATTTGTGAATTTGATGAAGAGAAATTGGAGTTCAGACTAATACCGTACCTGTGTCTTTGCCACAGTTGGAGAGAATAGCCAGCGGTCTCGGGGTAGTGCCCTGTTCACTGTCCAGGGTCCTGAGCTTTGAAAGTGAAAGCATTTTAATTGTATCATTATAGATTTGGAGTTTGTTCACTTTTGACCCTATAAAAGACCACCAGACAATTCCGTTGATCAAGAAAAGCTAATAATTTTAGACTTTCTGCAATAAGGAAAAAGAACACCTTAATAGAGTCTTAATAGTGTCTGATACGGGAGAAGTTGTAGAAAGATATTTATATGATTTAGAGCCCTGGGGGAGTGCTAAATGGTATCTAGTGGGGATTTGTTAGAGTTTTTGAATGAAAACTTTGTACTGGCGACACAATATGCTGAGAATTTTAAAGTGAGTCTTGATGAATAAGCTGTTATTATTGGAAAATAACTTATTTAGTTCATAGTCTTACCTTCCAGGAGCAAGTATTACATGCAGATAGTAAGTTATTCTTGCTTTTATGCAGTATTTATTAATAGATGATGGGAAATTAGTTTTATTTTAGTTTTCATTATCAAAGACTAAAATTCCAAAAGTGTTCTTACATTTCTTAGTGCTAAAATGCGCCCTTTCTCTGAGGGTCTTTTTAAATGCAAATACTTTTGGCATTACAAGTTAATTACAGGAAAATTAACTTCCTAACATTGATAATTTTTCTGAAGTAATGAAAGTGAATGCCTTTGTTTTTGTAAAAATAAATATACAGTAAAGTAGTTGGGCATAATTTTCTATATAATCTCAAAATTTAGGAAACAAATCTAACAAAATATGTATATACATGTGGAAAGAGAATAATTAGCAGTGTCACAAAATGGTAATTTTTTTTGCTTTTTATGTGTGTTTAACTTTTTAAGCCAATTATAACTGTTCATTTAATTAAATAAACTTTACAACTAATACACTCTGAATGTAGGAAATCATTATATGCTCAAACAGGTGGAAATAAAGGCCTTTATAAATTAGAAACACATAGACATACAGACACAGATGAAAAGAACAAGTAGCTTTAATTATAATATTTTAGCCTTGGAGAAAGTGTTAATAGCATTCAATAAAAATGTATCTGTTCATGTCAAAAAGTTGTTCTGCTTTCTAGTTGACTTAATTTTCTTACTTGATTTTAGCTCTAAATAGAAAATAGAAAGACAGATTCTTGGTTGATTAGCTGTCTATAAGCCATTACTTTATTTAGAGGTCACCAAAGGGTAGAACCATGAAACCAAATTCCTAGATGTTGTTGACACAGATGAGAAATAACTCATTGGTTATAACCAAAACCGAAAAGAAAATATGAATACATCCAGAGGAATATTTTTTAAAAAGAGAAAGTTCTATTGCTGTTTTGAATTAAGGAAGTAGGAGAAGGTATACCTGGGATTAAGCACTTTCTATCAGTGTATTTCTTTGGGGACAAAGTTTACCTAACTTTCAGATAAAATCCATTGGGCATATCTGTGGATGATTTCCAAGATTGTTAAAATAATAATTTAAGTAAAAACATACTATCATGCCTTTCATGCAAGTATAAAACAAGCATGTAAAAGATATTATTTAACTAACTTTTAAGAAAGAATCCAGTAAAATTTTACTATCAGTTCAAAGGAGAATCCAAATAACCTACCTGAGTAGAAAAAACTGGTTAGTAAAATCCAGAAACAGATTTTCCTTGGCTATATTTGTCAATACAATGCTATTTCCATCATATCAATTAACATTTAAATGATGTCCATAAAATTTTGATTAAAATAAAATGAAAAAGTTACCTGTTTAAAAGTATTTGTGTAATATGTGCTTACCTATTCATTTTTTAAACTATATATATGTGTGTCATAATTTGAGTATAGATGGATATGACTATTGAAAATGATTTTGATATAAATCAAAACTGATTTTTTCTTACCTTTGCTAAAGAAAAACATGATTTTAATACATAAAGGAAAGCATGAAATTCAAACCCTGAAATGATTTTAATATTTTAATATGTAATGGGTATGATATTCTTATTTCTTATTTTTTATAGATTTGTGCAAATGAAAGCAGTTGTTTGAGTGAAGAAGACAGTCAGGAATATTGGTGTCCTATTCTCATATGGGCTGGCAAAATGTACCTTGAAAATACAACTGATTATCAAGAAAATGGCTGTCAATATGAAGACATTTGTAAAGATGAAATTAATAGTCCCAGGTATTTATGCATCATATGAGCAAATAATACCAACTATCTCTCAAAAGTTCTGATTATACTGATAAGTCACAATTGAATTATTTCATAGTAGTTTATAACAATCATTGTTTAGTTTAAAATGATTGGAACTCATATATCATTTATTAATACATTTACATATGTAGTTAATATATAGCATTACATAATATCTTTATACTATATATAATAATGCTAGCACAAAAAAGATGAAAAGGAATAGATTATAGAGGAATAACTTTTCTATATCACACTGAAATTGTTAGTATAAATCCATGGTAAATGTTGGTAAATTAAGATGTACCTGGAGATAAACTCCAGAGCAACTGCTAAGAAAATAGCTCGTATAATAACAGTAAAAATAGCATTGATGGAATTAAAATGCTGGCATAGATTGATATTTACTTAATACAAAAGAAGTAGTCAGAAGAATAGAGATACAAAAATTATGAGACATGGGGAAAACAAAAAGAATGGCAGACATAAATCCAGCTATATCAATAATAAAATTTAAATGAATTAAATAATAAATCCAATTAAAAGTTATAGATTTGCAGACTGGATATATTCTGTATTTAGTCAATTGTATACTGTCTACAGAAGATAAACTTTAGATCCAAACATACAAATATGTTTAAAGTGAAAAAAAATGATGTGTAATTCAAACAACAACCATAAGAAAGCTAGAGTGTCTATATACCAATATCATAGAATAAACCATAAAAGAAAAATACACAGCTACTAGAGAAAATGAAAGACATTTTATAATGATAAAAGAGTCAAACCATCAGAAGATACAGTGATTTTATGTAGATACGCACACACAGACACACACACAACTAACAAGAGAGCCCCAAAATACATGAAGCAAAAAATAGAAGAATTGAAGAGAGAAATATCCAATTCAATAATAATAGTTGAATATTCTAATATTCCACTTTCAATAACAGATATAACACTTAGCAAAAAATCAACAAAGATATAGAAGATTTGAACAACACTGTAAATCACCTGGAGCTAGCAGATATCTAAAAAACACATTACCCAACAACAGCAGAAAAAACTTCTTAAATGTACATGGACCATTTTCCAGGATAGATCATATGCTATGCTATAAAACAAGCTGCACTATATCTAAAAGGATTGGAATAATAAAAAGGATGGTCTTGGATCAAAATAGAATGAGATTCAGGACTCAAGAACAAGTGACTTGGTAAATTCAGAATTATGTGGAAATAACACAATCCACATTAACCAATAGGTGCTAAAGGAATTACAAGGAAAATAAGAAATTATAAGAAAATAATTTTAGATGAATGAAAATGAACACAATGTATCAAAACTCATGGGTTATAGTTGAGACAGTGCTTATAATAAAATCATTTTGTGATGTAACTGTCCTTTTTCTCATTTTGTGTTTCTCTTTGTTTATAATCATTTCATTTTTTTGATATTCAGAGAATCTTGACATTTTTGCAGTTGAAATTAGCAACACTTTTATGAGTTCTTGATATTATCTCATAATTAATCCTAAAAATGGAGCCCAGCATATTTTTCAGATATAAAAATTTTATATAAAATTAACAGTTCTCTATATCAGTCACAACATCTAGAAATTATTAAATAATGTGATATCACATATTATAATGATAAAGATATGCAAAAATCTCAGAATTATTTTAACAAAAGTTAACTCAAATTCTCTGTTAAAACAATTGTCTAAATACCACTAAATTCAATGAAAAGAAAATATTATATAGACTCTGAATAAACTGAAATATAATCCATGGTCTTAGATATAATGCCCTAAATTGACTAAGACAGTAATTCTTCTCAAATTAATTCACACTTGCATTTAATACAGTAACAACAATATTGCAGATTATTTTAGAAACTAATCAACATGTTCTAAAATTTATATAAAAGAGTAATGTTTTATAAATAGCTAAGTGGTCTTTGAAAAGGAAGACTAATGGAGTGAGACTTCTTGAGCCATCTGGTATGACAGACTACAATACCCAAATGGAGGCTTTGTAGAAACAAACAATGGGCCAACAGAGACCTCTGCAACAACATATGTACATATGGGGATCTTGATGTATGAGAAATTTGGCCATAATTTGATGTGAACACACGAGACTCTTTAGTAAATGGTATTAGGGATATGGTTCATTATGAGACCATAAATGAAACTGGATTACAACCTTGCACTTCATATAGAAGCAGACTCCAAATGTATTTAGAGATCTAAAAGTATAAGGTAAAACGATGAACTGAAAGAAATACAGAAAAATATCTTTGTGGTTTGGGGATGGAGAAATTTTTAAATAAAACTCCCAAATACAACTCATAAAGCAAAATAATAATGGTAGTATTGTAATAATATTAGAGGATTTCTTTCTAATGAAGGACAGTAATAATAATAATGACAGATGATTGATAAATAATGCATAAACATTTTTCTATTGAAGTATACTTTATATGAGTACAGCTTAAAATGTCATATAATGTAAATGAAGTGATTCACACGGGTTTAAGTATTAGCACATTTTTGCCCTAAAGTGTTCAGAAAACATTTTCTAGGAAATTGGAAAACCTTTAATAAGAGAAAGAAAGAAAGAAAAGAAAGAAAGAAAGAAAGAGAGAGAGAGAGAGAGAGAGAGAGAGAGAGAGAGAAAGAAAGAGAGAAAGAGAGAAAGAGAGAAAAAAAGAAAGAAAGAAGAAAGAAAGAAAGAAAGAAAGAAAGAAAGAAAGAAAGAAAGAAAGAAAGAAAGAAAGAAAGAAAGAAAGAAAGAAAGAAAGAAAGAAAGAAAGAAAGAAAGAAAGAAAGAAAGATGCCACCAACAACATTGATGCTCCAGACTTCACAGGATAGCTTTTAGTAAGTATAGGGTCATAATATCTTAACATCAGGCTCAAAATATGAAGTATTCTTGACTCCAGTCTCTTTTTGAAGCTACAAATTCATGCCTAAGTCACCAATATGTACTTATCTCCAAAAATATCATATGAAAATGAAATACATTCATTTATACATTTATTCAAATTTATCGAAAACCCTCTGATTGGAAGATATTATACAGAATTTTGTGAAAGTGAGACCTGGTACTTGTCCTCAGGTAATGTGCCACACATAGGTAAATTTATATTCTCTTCAAAACACATCTCAGTGGTTGTTCTATTTCATTAAGAAAGCAAATATCTCTTTAAAGTACTAAAGTAACTATTATTTTCACTTTCTGAACATACAAGTACCTTGCTTATAGCTGTTATGATGTGTTTTCTGGCTTTCTTTTTGGAAGCTTTAAATTAAACTTGCTTTCTTTATAGGCTATTTTGGGAGATTCACATTTTCTATATATTGCTAACTATAACCAAACCACAATTTTTCATTTATAAGCAAGAGTTCTGGTTGGAAATGTAAAATCTTAAAGTCCGTGAGAAAATCAGGTGTAGCTTCACAACCTATTTCTGTAGAGTCAGGAAGATGTATAAATAGAGCTTTAAGTGAGTTTGCTACAAAAATACAATATATTTTGTTCAGGGTTTTCTTAAATTATTTCTAAACAAGAGAATCTAATAATTATTTATTCTAAGACTATTGCAATTTTTGTCATGTTGGTAATGACTTTTATTAGCAAGTTGAATTACTTCTTTTGTTTTTATTTATTTATTTTGATTTCAATTGTACCATGCTAACTTTTCTGCCTTCAAACAAAAGTTGTATGTGCTTACATTTTACCTTAAAAAAAGAGAGAGAGAGAGAGAGAGAAAAGAAACTGAACTACATAACTACATATAAAACTGGCATATTATATATGTATATGTAATATGCACATTTATTTTTGACTAGGCTTGGTACCACTGAATTTTGTTTCTCTGGTGTCTAATGCATTAACATCAGCATCATTTTGTCTAATGCATTTACATGCACTGATTTTTTTCTCCTCTTTATTATGCCATGAAAAACCAAATAACCTTGCTTCCTCAAACTTTATAGTAAGATTATAGAGATCATTCATTTTAACAATTCTTAAGCAGATAACGTTGTATTATTCATATATATGACAAAATTAATTACAATAAACTTCATTAAATAAAGCACTTTCATATAATTAAGTTTCAACTATGGTAGGGATTGAAACTTAGTTCATGCATACACAATTATCTCTGATTTATTTTTTCCAATATGTATGTTATGCATTTAAAGTAAAAGTTTGATTCCATTATTGCTTCATCTTCTATGACTTAGGCTTTAATTTCATATCTCAAACAATAAAACATTTTTATGCATGTTTTATGATTTTGTATTATCTGGGCCAGATTTTTATTTTAATTCATAATATTTAAATAGTTTTTTATAAGTCTAACAATTTGGCATTGCTTTTCAAATTGTCTCCTAAGACTTGGACTTTCATGAAACCTTTTATATGGAAGCTTTAAGAAGATGACCTTTCTTTTGAGTGTAGCTTACTCAATTTTAAAAAGTATTTGTTGATTATTTAATGAAACAATAATTAATGATACATTCACTGTTTATAAGCCATATAGGTCATAACCTTAGGACTTAGGGTAATAAGTAGAGTATTAGATTTAGTTTCTTCTATCTCTATAAAAGAAAATTTCCATTGAAAATCTAAATGAGGAAAAAAGCCTATGAATTATAATATTTAAAAATTAGGCCATATTTTCAACTTATAGACTTTTATCCAATAGGTCTCTGATTTTTCTTTTGCATCATTTTATTCACTTGCTTTAAATGTAAGTATAACTTAAAATTTATTTATTTAATAATACAGTTAGTAATACATTCATAAAGTCTTTTAGTCTGATTTATTTTTTCAAAGTAAAAATTTATTTGCATTAACAGAATATTTTCACATTATCAACAATATATTTATAGGCAACCAGAATCTTCATGATATTTTATAAAAATTTATGTACTTGTTGCTAAATAGCTTTCAGTTTAATAGTCATTTATTAAT